ATATACAATATATATATATAGTAATATATATATAATAATAATATATATATATATATATATATATATATATATATATATATTTATATATATATATATGCCTGAACATACCCAGCACGTTTCGCGATTGTCTGATTCCTCAGGAGGGCCTGGCGAAAACGTCCACACATTCAGCAGGTGTTGTAGTACCACTGTGTTGTGCGACTCCGCCTGACACAGTTATAGCGTAGTTGATTTCAATAGCGCACAAGTGCATTCGGCAACCATATTGGGGTGTAGTGTGACAGGTTTGTGGAATTGTGGAAGGATGTCCTACCCAGAGGTGGGTGGATAAGTGGGGTGTATGTTTGTGCTGCGTGAGATGACAAGCATGGACAAATTATAACACGTTGGGCAACGCAATGGCAAATTTGGTAGAATACGTAGAATTCGGTGTAAATTAAAACGATAGTTGTCAGTGGAAATCGGGATGTTTTAGAGCGCTGATACTTTAGAAGGGCGCCTGTGTGTCAAAAGCCAATACTGAGGCCGACCACACCATGCATGTACACTATGGACATATAAAAAACTACTAGACAGCCTCGTCTATCTCTCGCATTATCATGCCGGTGGGTTAAGGCGTACACAATAGACAAATGAAACACACACACACACACACACACACACACACCGCATAGGAAACATACCACTATCTTCTACGAAAAGGGGTGATAGGAAACACAAACACACACACACACACACACCGCATAAAAAAACATACCACTATCTTCTCAAAAGGCGTGAGGGAAACACAAACACAAACACACACACACACACACCGCATGAAAACATACCACTATCTTCTCAAACGGTGTGATGGTCACTCGCGACGTGTACTTCTCAGCGGCAGGGGGGTATCCAACTGTCAACACACATTGTATAATAATTGCATTAGAACGTACGTTGTGAGATAGTTGATTTTCCAAGGCTATGTGGGCAGTGCCTTTGTTCTGGATACACGCGTGGTCTGCTTCAGAGAGTTCCCGATTTAGCATTACAGTACAATTTCAGCACACAATACAGTGGCTGAATCTCATCGCGCTAAGACATGTATGCGCCGATCTCAGTACCCACTCGGAGTGCCCATGCGCAAGCAGTAAAGCTGCTAAGCAAGTTCGAATGCACAGATCCACATAGGGTTTCCTGCGCTATACAGGCGCTGCACAGACCTGTAAGATCGGCTAGCATACGTCCGCTTTTTTCATCGCGCCGAGTTATCACAGACTCCGCGCAGTAGGGAACGAATTCAGAGTACGAGTCAATATCGCGCACCACCGCAAAAACCTCGGCTGGCGAGTGTCTGTTTGGTGAGTGATCAAAGTGGCGTGCTTAGAATTGGAGATTTCCGAACTTGTAGGTTGAAATGTATGGCCGGAACGGTATGTTGCGGGGATATGGGGTAGGTATGGCGATACATGTGTACCTGCGTGTACATGGCTTTATGTACAGGAGAGTGCGCGTGCGTATATGCGTGCATAGCCACAAACATCGTTATCAACTAGAGCGCAATAAAGTGAGGGTATGCAGAAAAGGGTACGTGCGCACCGGGTAATGGCTATAGTACGTGTTTGCACATAAATGTAAGTTGTAACGACACGACAGTGAATTAGCTTATTCAAACGTTCAAATATAATTTACAAGTGAAAGCACTCTCGGTATAAAATTAATCATTACTATTAACGACACGGTAGTGGATTAGCACATACACACGTTGCGATACGACTTGCACATGAAACCAGTCTTGGTATATAATTACACCCACTACTATCAAGTACACGGCAGTGACTTAGCACATACATAGTTCAGATACGGCTTGCACGTGAAACTAGTCTTGGTATTAAAATTACACCCACTAGTATCAAGGACACGGCAGTGACTTAGCACATACATAGTTCAGATACGACTTGCACATTAAACCAGTCTTGGTATAAAACACACTCACCACTATCGCCTGCAGCCAACGAGTGTGCGTGGCCATCACACACATCTCGCAGCAGACAGATGCCCAAATTTTACTTAGAGATCTGCCGAGACTCACCTGAAAAGTCGCCTAACTCTATGTTCCTGTTTCTTGTTTGTTATTGAAGGTAGTGAGATGAAAGTTCTGCTTTGAGCTACGGACAGCCTTCGGAGAGGCGAACCCAGAAGCGAAGAGTCGATTCTGTGCCAACCCGATGGATAAAGAGGATTAGTATATGACAACTAATCCTTTATACAAATTGCAAACTAAAATAAATTTGATCTGAAATGATTGGTATCAACATGAGGGGACAACTAGTAAAAGTCTTGAGCAGATATACATGAAGCGTGATACATTATGAACTGTTAATTGCTATAACATTCTCATATATATATA